ATATACGAGTCGATTAAAAAGTCGAATTCAAGTCTGAGCCGACAAAAGAGGAAACCACTGGAGGACGCGATTGAGAGGGTTCTGGATTTCCGCAAGGAAGAAGAGGCCGAATCTGAGGACAGCGACGACTTGTTGGAGCAGGCTGAAGAATACAAAGTGAGTTTTACCTTCCGTCTCCTTCACATGACGTTCCCTTTTTTTCTGACACCACCTCCCTTTTCATAGCCGGAAGATCGATTTCTTCTCAACAGACAAATGACGAAGCACTGGAACGTCGCTCCGGCGGTGCCCACTGCCCAGGGGTCAGACGGCAAAAGCACCAAGAAACGCCGCATCTCACCTGAGCCCGAGGCTGCCAACGGCAATGGCAACAGTAACGGCACCGGCACCGGTAATGTCAGCGACGCCTCGGCCATTGTCTCCAAGTCGTCAAAGTTCAAGACGGGCGACGCTTCAGAGACCGCTCAGGCGGCCGTCACGAAGAAGGCGCTCAAGGCGGCCAAGTACGGCCCCGAGCAGATCCCTCCGGGTTCGGTCGTTCTCGGCGGCGTGCGTGGCATCATCGAGGAGCTGCAGCGGTACGTCTTTGCGCGCGCGCGGAAGCCGGAGGATTTCGCATGCTTTGGAGAGCAGCCGATGGGAATCCTCATCTCAGGACCCCCGGGCACGGGCAAGCAGTCTCTCGTGCGGTCGCTTTCTTGGAGGACGAGGACGCCTGTTATCTCTATCGGGCGATACCTTAGCGAGACGCGGTCGCCTGAGAAAGTGAGCAAGATTTTCACCGACGTGCTGGACGAGGCGAAGAAGATTGCGCCGTGCGTCGTCCTGTTCGACCACCTGGATGAGTACATGGTCAAGTCGGGCAACAGCCACAGCGAGTTCGACCATGAGGTAATTTCACAGCTCAAGCTCGGTCTCCGGCGCTTGCGAGACTGGGAGCGTGAGGGGCAACGGGTGGTGATCGTGGGCACGACGAGTAAGCTCGAGCTCGTCGACCCGACGCTGCGGAGACCAGACTACTTTGCGCAGACCATCACGGTCAAGGTGCCCAACACGGACGCCCGAGAGGAGATCTTCAAGGCCCTGACAAGAGAGCTCGACATACCCTCCGAAGTCGACTTCCAGGCCCTCGCCGTCCGCACGCACGGCTTCGTCGGCGACGATATCCGCGCCGTGATCCAGGTCGCCAACCGCAAGGCCAGCGACCGCTTCATGGACGTAGAAGAGGCGCGCGCCAGGAACACCATCCAGGCCGAGAGAATGGATACGGAGAGCTCCTTCTCGCACGCGGATAACGCCGCCCGCGACCTCGACGACGCCTGCCTGTGGTACGACTATATCGAGCACCCATCCTACACGACCCCGACGCGCGTCCACGTAAGCCAGCAGGACTTTGTCGACGCCATCGCCGAGCACACCCCTTACATGCGCCGCGAAGGCTTCAGCTCCATCCCCAGCACCTCCTGGTCCGAAGTCGGCGCCCTGCACTCCGTCCGCGCCGCCTTCCAGGTCTCCATTGTCCGACGCATCAAGGAACCCCTACTCTTCCAGAAATTCGGCAAGCAGCGGCCCGCGGGCGTGCTCCTCTTCGGCCCCCCCGGCTGCGGCAAGACGCTCGTCGCAAAGGCCGTCGCCAACGACGCGCAGGCGAGCTTCATCCTCATCAAGGGCCCCGAGCTGCTCAACAAGTACGTGGGCGAGTCGGAGCGCGCGATCCGCGAGCTGTTCACGAGGGCGAAATCCTGCGCGCCGTGCATCCTCTTCTTTGACGAGATGGATTCGCTCGTGCCCAAGCGGGAGAACACCACCACCGAGGCGGGCGCCCGCGTCGTCAACGCGCTGCTTGCGGAGCTCGACGGCGCCGGGGATAGGGGTGAGGTCTATGTTATCGGCACGAGTAACCGGCCCGACATGATTGACCCGGCCATCTTGCGCCCCGGACGTCTTGACAAGCTGCTGTTTGTGGATTTGCCTACCGAGGACGAGCGCGTCGATATCTTGAGGACGATTGTGCGCAACGGCATCGGTGGAGGAGTGCAGCCAGAAGGCCAGGGTGACGGTGATAACGACGTCGTGGACGTTGAGGCGATTGCGCGGGATAAGCGGTGTGCCGGTTTCAGCGGTGCGGATCTGTACGGCTTGTATAAGAACGCGCTGGACGAATGTGTTTTGCGGTACGAGGGCGGAGAGCCGGCGTTGATCAAGAGTGATTGGGAGGCTGCGCTGAGCAAGACGAAGCCGAGTGTGCCGAACCCGGAGACGTATAGGAGGCTGGCGAATAAGTTGCATCATCAGACGTGAGGAAGGGCAAGGATAGGTCTAGAGGTGGACTGTTAGACGAAGAAAAGTTGACTGATAGAGAAAAGTTGAGTTTGTCTTTTCATTGCTGCATTTGTTATTTGGGGGGTTCTGGTGTCTTTTAGAGAGCAATTGGGCTCATATCATGGGTCCTCTCCCATATGGTTAGGTACCTCAGATACTGAAGGAAGCCGAGTGAAAGTCTCGACTGTATTGTTGAACATCTATTCCAAGAATTTGGCCAAGCTACGTACACTTCGTGTAGACGAGCGAACTGCCGAGCCTCCCTCTACATGGCTTGTCCTCATCTCATGGCTATTGCTCAAACATCTCATCGCAACTGTTATAAACAAGATCTTCGTATTACCTCTCCGCCACCATCTTGGATCTCATGGCATGGGAATAAGAAAAGCAGCAGACATTGAACATAGCTTGAGTCAGAGAAGGAGCCAACACCATCACCAGAGGCGATGAAAACACCAGGGCCGGACCCAGCACCCTACTCACCCGCGCTTCTCCTACCCCCCCAAAAAAAACCCATAAACGCCAATAAAAAAAGGGATGCCACAAGATTCATACTAAGCCAGCGACCCCTTTACAATAAGAACTGAATGTGATGACAAAAATGAGCTGTCTGTGGCATTATGTAGGACTACCAATTTTTATGAGCACAACTCTACTCGAACTTGCAACCCTTGCGGGACCCATCACGCTTTTTGCTGTTCCGTCACTAGGTCATGTACACATCAGACGCTGCTCATACCCTTCCTCGAAGTTTTCTCGCCTATGGAGCTTTAGGGCTGGCGGGGAAGGTGTGATGGTGGATGTGCCTGCTTATTCTGTCTGGGAAGGCTGCTGGTCGGCACTTGCCCTCTGAATACGATCAAACGTTGTGGGAATGAGAGTAAGTCAATATCAATTCAGTCTCTACCTATTCAATGTCTTGAATATCTTTACATGAGGTAAAGTAAGTTAATTCTTTACCGGCTGGTTTTAGCTAGTAGCTGAAGGCTTGGTCGATATACTTTCATAACCTTATGACAGGGGATGAACCTCGAGAGCATAGCAGTCGTCACTGATTATCGTAAAAGCATAGAGAAAGTAGTTAGGGAGTAATGATTTGGGTTTGTATGGCTAACTGGGATAGCCGGCAGGTGTGGTTATCGTGAACAGTACCTAGGTAGAGATTGGGGTCAAATCAAAAAAAAGTCAACAAACAATGGACCGATCGAAGGATCGAACATGGACCCCGAAATAAACCGGAAACTTCACGGTTCAACCGGGGCCTCTACAGCTCAGGACCCCTCGACCATACGGCCCATTGCTTGTTGGTGATATCTAGAGATGATTCACTTCTCATAAGGGGCGGGAGCGGCCAATGAGGAAAGCCCCAGGCACAGGTTTCTGCCTCTATACCAGGCCGGATGCAAGATGGGCTGCATGAAGCGGTCTATATAATCTAAGTAGGTTTTGATCCAGTGACCTAGAGTGTTAGAAAGCCGATGTTGGAAACGTTCTTCAGGACTTAAGGGGTGTGCGAAATAAAGACGGTTTTGACGATAGCTTCAATTGCACGTCGTTGTTTGGTCACCCATCGGCCAGATGTTCTATGAGATTTTCAGTACATATGAAAATTGCATTTACTCTCCTTTCTCTCCCGACTCCAAGTCGTCAACGATGGTCTATACGGGGCAGACGGACGTACTAGGGATTCCAAGATTGGGCAGACATGCACACCACATTCAGACGTACAGACCTTCTGGGAATTACTTAGTAAACCGAATGTTTCCAAGCACGAGAAAGTGATTTCGATCACCTTTTGGCCTGTTCTTATTGTGTGTTAAGACATCATCTCGGACTTGCTATCTGGTTGCAAGACTACTCGTAGAATAGGTAGCTGTAGCAAGAACCAGGGGCTGAGCGCACGTTCAGTGTCAATCGCATCCCCAACACTTACCATTTACCTCATCTAAGACCTCGCTCTTTGAAGATTCAACTGGACAATAAATAAGATGATAGTTCAACGCAAGTGTCGGGGAAAGTCCTCCTGCGGACGACGACGATCGCGTGATTGGGTCCAGACTCACTGACCACTGAGAGTGGAGAAGTGACAGTCGTCGACACCGGTCGGGGGCATGCAGAAGATTATACTTTTTCTGATGCTTGCAGAACGACTGCTTGAGCCGCAACGACCTTCAAAAACCGCTATTTTGGAACAATTGACCGACCTTTTCCCGTTGCATCCCGTAACACGTTCCTGACATTCATGATTCGGTGACAGGACAGGACCTATGACGAGGTGCCAGGATGACAACACAGAGCGAGTCATCTGACTGGCTGAAGGGGACAGAGTGGCCGCACTACTGCACCACCTGAGTAAGCAGGTTTTTTTTTTTCTTTTTTGGCCCCGGCCAGCTCCGGGTCACAAGGCGCGCCAGATCTGACATCATGGACACGGTAATGATTTGCAGGCACGGATGCTACAGGAACAATCAAGAATGGCACGCGCATGTGTCTGTGGCGTTTGTTTCGCAAAATGAAATTTGTTGTATTACAACCGTCTTTGAAAGGGGAGAATTTTCGAGAGAAAACGGGCTTGTTCAGTGAAGCCCCCAAAACACACTGTTCTAGAGTGGTCTATTGGTACAAAACGCAAATCGCCAGTTCGTCTAATGCAATCCTATCGTTACACATCAATCCATCTATTTGGTGACATCCTTGAGGTAGCTGTCGTCATGGTCAGTGAGTGAGTCTTGAGTGAGATGTTGAGTGACAGTGAAAACGTACGCAATGAGGTCGTTGCGGTCCTTCTCCTTCTTGAGACCACCGAACGCCATCTTGGTGCCGGGAATGTACTTCTTGGGGTTCTCGAGGTACTCGAACTGTACGAAGGCTCATGGTTAGCAGAGCAATGAATTTGAACGTCGTCGGAAGAGCTTACAAGAGTCTGGTCGTTCCACTCGATACCCTTCTTCTTGTTGGCGTCGGTGTAGGAGTAACCCTCGACGGAACCGGTCTTGCGGCCCCAAAGGCCGTGCAGAGCAGGGCCGATCTTGTTGCCGCCGTCGGCCTCGACGGTGTGGCACTGAGCGCAACGGGTCTTGAAGAGGTTGGCACCCTTCTTAGCGTCACCTAGATTCCTCGAGGTCAGTTCACTGGTCTGGGTAGGTGATGTGTATTCCGCGACACATTTCGTTGTTCGCTTGGATTAAGACCCGATGAGAGCCCGGCCGCCCGTAGTGAGCACTCGTCGTGAGCGTATACGCTGCTTCGCCGCCCCTGTCGACGCCTTCTTGTGTCTCGCTCATCGGGCCCCTGTTTTTTGCCCCATCAAGCGAGATGCCAGGAAATTGGCGCAAGATGTCGGAGGTGCTAGGAGAAACGAATCGCTGAGGACGAAGGTGTCGCACGAGGTGAAATCGAAGCCGAATTGGCCCGCGAAGCAGTTCCGAACCGATCGAGACTCAGCGAGGGTAACTTCGCTGCTCAATGGCTCGTGGCGGATTGAGGCGCTCGGAGGGTTGGACAATCATCGGGGATCCGCAAAGCAAAGCGAAAACGGACGGAGAGGACGGCGCGCGCGCGTGAGGTGAGAGAGACTTACCACCAGCCATTTTGACGGATTATAGGATAATTAAAAGGATTTGAAAAGGGGTATCAGGTAGAAGGTGCAAAAGAAGAATGTCTTTTGCAGGTCGTCAAGTAGGTCGTTTGGGGTGTAGATGGTTGAGAGTGAGGAATGGAGGAAGAAGGGGGAGAGAAAAACTTTTAGAATCGGATCGGACCAAGTAAAGAAAAAGACGAGACGACAGTACGGCAAAAAAAGGCTATCCGATTTTAATTATGACAACAACCCGGCGGAAAGGCACCTGGCGACGTACCCAGCACACGCCGCAACGAGAGAAAAAAGCCTGGAATGAGCTCACTGAACCTGGGTACCGCGGCGCACAAGCCACACGGTGTGGCGACGCGACCGCCAATCAGATGTGCAGCATTGGTCAGAAGGTGATGCGTCCGGGGGTCGCTACCCGGGCAAAACCGGATACTGCTCCCGGAAGAACGCTTTCTCCGCTGCGCCTCGGTGTTTTGGTGACGGGACCAGCTCGCTTTTTGGCAGGAGTGCCAGGTCAACGACTCAACCAACGGGGCGGCGCGGCGGGCCAGCGGGGACCTTTGTCGGTGTCCCTGCCACTAGCATTTTTTTTGGTCTTTTATCTCTCACTTGGTCCTCTTAGGCTGTCGCCAACATCCCGTTTGCCGAGCTTCGACTGGGATTCCTAAATCTGCCCATATCCGTGCTTTCTGGCCTCTTTCACCTCGGCGTCTGTCTGTTCCAGATCCCGAACTGTCAATCTTGCAGCCAATAATAGCTGTAGTGTTAATGCTGATGCTGCTACACACGAGACAGAGTAGCCGTATGGTCATCGCGATCGTCCATTGAAGTGAGCAAGGGTGGTTTTTCCTATGGGTCAGGTACGTACCCGTACATGCGCCCAGATGCGCGACGGGGGTAGTTCGGCGACCCTTTAGCTTCCAGCCTCTCATCATACCTTACCTGAGCTCCACTGTAACTTTTTGGAGCAGAGAAATTCTTCTGGAGCTTCCATTTTTCCAGCCCCGACCGATCCTGCCGGCGCGCACCTGATGATCCCGTTGATCCATACCAGAGCCTCAATGACGCTGTGAAACAGACGCCTGACCCCCGAAAGTCTAAACCATCGCCGTCCAGGTGACCTACTTTGTTCCTTGACCGCCGTCCTTCGCAACGTCGGCAAACATCGGGCAAGGCAACGTTGTGAGGGTCCAGCACCGTTCCTTTGCCGCCGCTGCTTTTATAGTGGCAAACCAACAACATCAATGACGACCTCGGCCACAACCCTCCTCCCCAGGTTCCTCCTCCCGGCCTTGAGCCCCATGTGGCGCGTAGCAGCGACCTCTACCGGCCGGCCGGCCGTAACGGGGGCCTCGGCGGCGCTCCGCCGGAACGCGGTGTGGACGATTCGGTACGCCTCGTCCAAGCCGACAAAGGCGGGCCAGAAGGGACCCCTCATCCTCGAGAAGCCGGCCAAGTTCAACCCGCCCTCCCACGGCGCCCGGTTGCCCAAGAACAATGGCCCGAAGCACTATGGCGGTCCGCTCAGCAACCAGGAAGTCCGCGCCCAGCGCACACGCGAGTATCCCGGCATGATGGCTCCCGAGGGGACGTGGGCGCATTGGTTCTTCAACAGCCGCAAAGTCCACCTCTTCATCTCCCTGGTCAGTAGAACTCAGTGTTCCTCCACTGGCAGGAACACACATATGCGGGCCGTAGCTTGTTTGGACCAATGGGTTTAGCTAACATTGGATCCTCTAGGGAACACTCACGACGCTGGCCATCTCGACGTTGGTCCTCAACTTTTCCCAGACATCCCCGTTCAAGCACCTCCTGCCCCCCGCCTCCGAGTTCTGGAGCAGCCCCATCCAGTTCATCCGCACATGGGTACATGTGATGCAGCTCCACGAGCGCGACCGTAACGAAAAGGCCATTGCCGCGCACTCGCGCCACACCGACGACGTCGCGAAGCGTCAGTACTACCGCAAGGTCCACGGACTGGACAAGGAGAACCCCATTGCCAACTTTTTGGGCATGAAGGAAGAGTCGGAGGAGGACAAGGCTGTGGCCGCTGCCGCGATGGAGGCCTCCCCCGTGGCTGGAGACGCCGAGGCGACGGCACCTGCAGAGAACGAGCAGAGGAAGAAGTGGCTTGGCATCTTCTAATTAAGATAAGAGAAGAGGAACCCATCCATGTGTAAGATGTAACGGGGGATGAGCACGCTATTTTTGTAATATACCCTCCACCGAACCATGTACAACATGACATTACAAACCAGAACCGCCAATTGGTATCATGACTTTTGTCTTTCCGTTGCCCATCCTGACATATCGCAAAACATTAAACCCCTTTCTCAAGCCCTAGAGATCGAACCCTTAGGCCAGCTCTACCGCGGCAATCGCCTCCAGCACCTCGTCCGCGACGCCCCCCTTCTCCAGAACCTTGGAGATCATCCCCTCAATCACGTGTACCTTGGTACCTCCTATAGGCGGCTTCCAAACTCCCTCCGCGGCCTGTCCCTGCGCAGCCGCCGGGACTGCCGGTGCCTTTGACGGTGTGCCCGCAAGACCGGTAGCCGGATTCACAGAGTTGGGCACGCCGGGCGCCGTCAACCTCGAAGGCGGGTCGACCGTCCGCACGGAGAGCAGCTTCAGCTGGCGACCGTCGACGTCCATTCCGCCAATCGAAGCGGCTGTCTTCTCCTCAGCGACCGAGACCGCCAACGCCGACTCCGCGACGGCGAGCTCCTCGCGCGCGGGGTCGAAGATGACGTTGCCGCCGACGGCGATGACGAGCAGTGTTATGGGCGGGCGCGAGCCGCCGTTGACTGGTGCGCTGCCGTCGCGGGGGTACAGGAACGTCGAGGCCTGCCAGTCGTCGTCGAACATGGGGTCTTCGTCGCCCTCTGACTTGAGGCGCGGGAGGCGGGTTGCGAGGAGCGAGAGGTGGGTTGTGAGTGAGAGGAGGGGCAGCGGGTAGGATAGAGGCGGGGAGATGAGGAGGATCTATTGGGATAGTGTGTTAGCGTCTAGTCTTCAAAGAGACAACGGTGTGTCTGTGTGTGTTGGAGGAGGAGATTGGGGGACAAACGTCTAGGTAGAGCTTCCAGTGGAACCGACTGTTGATCCGTAGCTTCTTGGTAAACTCTCCGTCAGCGAGCAACGCTTCGCTGAGCATGTTGGCAAGGAAAACAGTCGCGGCGTCGTCCTCCCTGGAGGCCGGGATCTCGACCGTTATCTCGAGCCAGTCATTGTTGCCCTTGACCACCTCCTTCTTGCCCGCGTCTTTCCTCGTCTCTGGAGACTCCTCGCCGTCTACGTCTGCGCCAAACGGGCTGGCCGTCTTCTCGATCTCCGCCTTGACGCCTACGATGGCCTCCGTGCCATCGGAGAAGCAGATGCGCGCGCTGCCGTTGGTGCCGGGAAGGATGCCCGTCTCTGCGGTCAGGGGGCGGAACTGGTTTGCCTTGCGGCCGTCTGGGCGGATGGGCGGCGTGAGGGAGAGGGTCGAGTGGAGGTAGGCGAGCTCTGCCGGGGAGAGCAGAACCTGCTGTGCAGACGCCATTGCTTTCTCTAGGTGTGGGGTTTTTTCTCTGTTTTCGTCCCTGTTCGCAGACTGGGTATAGTACTCGCGGAGTTTCGTGTAGTTCCTGGTCGAGCTTGCAACAGCTCAATGTCTCGTCAATTGGTCGTGGTTTCAGGGAAGCTCGATTCTTTTGGCGGGATGTGGTCGCAAAAAGTTGGTAGGATTTGGGCTTTCTACCGAGCAAAGTCAAGGGAAGCAGGGGTTTTTTTATGGTGGGGTCCGCGGGGTGTGGGGCCGGCCGGTGCGAGCTGTCCGGATCGGTGGTTGTGGCGTGAGCTGTGGCTTGAACGGACGTCCACGATCAACGGCTTTACACGGGTTGAGCTTCACACGTCCACGTTCTTACCTCCAATATACCCACTTGGACGAATTCATTCTCGCATTATAATTGAGGAAATATTGAAGACCAGGGAGCGTCTGCACTCCGCTCAAGTGAGCACTTAGAGACGCGCCTGCGGGGAGGAACATTCAACACAAAACATGGAGTTTGGATCTTCAGCTCTACGGATGATCACCATACAGCTTCTTTCCAAAGTTTCTACTTTAACATATCTCTATACCGCACTGCTTGGCTTAACTTCATGTTATCATGCTATCTTTGTCCACTAGGATCGAGACGGGATTGCCAGTCCCAAAAGCATCTAATCGATCCTACGAAAATGGCTCTGATGTCTGAAGGCTAAGAACTCTTTTATAAAGTCCCAGGAGCTTATTTACATATAGGTCTTTAGATATCACTTTTGCGTAAGATCTTTGAATAGTTCTGAAGATGTACTTGGCACCCGTCAAACACGAATTCATGGCGCTTGTCGGGCTCTCACTTCCACAATACGGCCACTCAGTCTAGGCTTTGAGAGCCATAGTATGATAACGCCGGTCAACGTATCCTATTCCGTTAATCTTGGGCTCATGCCAGACTGTTCCAGTTCTCAATTCGGTTGTTGCCATGGGCATGGCATAGCGCCATTCAAGATCGCCCATATCAGATCGCAGAGAAGACACCACCCTCAAAGGAAAAGAAATCTCGAAAATTGCCAACGACATTGGAGAAAACCCGTCATATGCGACGAAGTTGATGAAGCAACAGATTTCTATTCCATATCCTTGCTGGTCGTGCCTGCTATCTCATCTAATCTACTCGGAAACCTTCATTTACAGTTGGCAGCCGACTCAGACAGAGCTTAAGAAGTGATAGCGACTGGGAGATCTGAGCCACCAAACTATGAACGATCTACTTCAAAGATAATTCATAAGAGTATACGTGCGGTATGTAAACTCTCATGAAAGCTGCAGGGAGCTGTCACCATGGAATACGATGCATTGTCTATCCTAGGGTTACGAGCCAAGACTTGAATTCGTTTTCCCCTCGATTCACTCACGATATCTACACTATGCCAATGCTTCTCTACATTTAACTCTATGTGAACGGCTAGTGAGACACAGCTTTGTGCTCGCCAATATTCGAGTAATAGTTCCTACTCATTGATTCGCTTTCCCGATGATCTCTTGATACTCAGATATACCGGACTAAGTACCATAGCTATGGAGAGAATATCTACGTGATCATGCCTACTCCCAGAGAAGGATGGAACAGCTCCTCGATCGGATAAACTGCAGCAGTCGAGTAATTGAACCACTGCAAGTGACTTCAAAGGTCGCGATTGCCTCCCTACTACTTCTCCAATAGCGTGCGTGATTAGGAAGTTTGAATCTCTCTCAGTGGTACTAGTTGAACAGTACAATACCTCTCACGTTTGGGAATGTTCACTGGGACTTACTTTTCTTCTCGTCATGTCGGGGCTTTCCCACACTCTTGCTTTCTCCCTTTTCTAGCCTCAAGAATCTGATGCGCATCCATGACGACGACACCAGAGGCCCGAAGCGACTGGGGAGACTCTTCCCGCCGCTCTACGAAGCGACGTATATGCAGCTGAAGTGAAACAGAAATTAAGGCTAGCTATAAGTCTCTTGCGAACATTAACACCGGAGGTAACTTGTCATCATCGTAGACACTTCAGTCAAGCATTTGCACAGCCAAGCTGAGAAAGCGTTGTCTTTGCCACGGAAAAGAAAAAAGAAGGAAAGAGCCCCAGATAGCCAATT